TTGTCGTATGATTGGGTATCTCTTGGGTATATTCCCAAGAGTGGTATTGCTGGATCTTGAGATACATTGACTCCCAATTTCCTGAGAAACCGCCATACTGATTTCCAAAGTGGTTGCACAAGTTTGCATTCCCACCAACAATGGATGAGTGTTCCCGTTACTCCACATCCTCTACAGCATAGGTTATCATTGGTGTTTTGATTTTAGCTATTCTGACAGGTGTAAGATAGTATATCAAAGTTGTTTTGATTTGCATTTCCCTGATCTCTAAGGAGGTTGAACATGACCTTAAGTATCTTTTGGCCATTTGAACTTCTTCTGTTGAGAATTCTCTGTTCAGTTCAGTACCCCATTTTTAATTGGGTAATTTAGAATTTTAATGTCTAGTTTCTTGAGTTCTTATATATTTTGGAGATCAGACCTTTGTCTGATGTGGGGTTGGTGAAGATCTCCCAGTCAGTAGGTTGCCTTTTTGTCTTAATGACAGTGTCCTTTGCTTTACAGAAGCTACTCAGTTTCAGAGGGTCCCATTTATTCATTGTTTCTCCTGTTGTCTGTGCTACTGGGGTTATACGTAGGAAGTGGTCTCCTGTGCCCATGTGTTGCAGTCTACTTTCCACTTTCTCTTCTATCAAGTTTAGTGTGGTCAGATTTATATTGAGGTCTTTAATCCATTTGAACTTTGAGTTTTGTGTACGGTGATAGATATGGGCCTACACTATCCTGAGTGAGATAACCCAGACCCAAAAAGATGAATATGGTATTACTCACTCATTGGTGGACTCTAGCCATAAATAAAGGATATTGAGCCTCTAGTTCACAAGCCTAGAGAAGCGAAATAATAAGGTGAACCCAAAGAAAAACATATATAAATCCTCCTGGAAATTGGAAGGAGACAAGATCGCCGGGCAAAAGATGGGAGCATGGGAGTGGGGGTGGGGTGGGAAAGAAGGGGAGAGGGGGAGAGAGAAGGGAGAAGTGAAGAATTGGGAGAGCTTGGAGGAGTGGGAGGGTTGAGATGGAGGAAGGGCGGATATAGGAGCAGGGAAAAAGATATCTTAATTAAGGGAGCCATTTTAGGATTGGCAAGAGACTTAGCTCTAGAGGGGACCCCAGGTGTCCATGGGGATGTCCCCAGCTAGATCCTTGGGCAGCAAAGGAGAGGGTGGCTGAACTGGCCTTGTCCTATAGCCACACTGATGAATATCTCGAATATTACCATAGAACCTTCATCTGGTGATGGATGGAGATAGAGACAGAGACCCACATTGGAGCACTGGACTGAGCTCCCAAGGTCCAGTTGAAGAACAGAAGGAGGGAGAAGTTGAGCAAGGAAGTTAGGACCGCGAGGCGTTGGTCCACCCACTGAGACAGTGTGCCTGATCTAATGGGAGCTCATCAAATACAGCTGGACTGGGACTGATGGAGCATGTGATTAAACCAGACTCTCTGAATGTGGCTGACAATGGGGGCTGACTGAGAAGCCGTTGATAATGGCACTGGGACTTGTTTCTACTGCAGTCTGTTTGGATGCACACTTTCCTAGGCCTGGATGAAGGGGGGAGGGCCTTGAACTTCCCACAGGGCAGGATACCCTGCCCTCTCTTAAGACTGGAGGGGGAGAGAGGAGGGTGAGTGGGGAATGGGAGGAGAGGAGAAAGCAGAAATTTTTGAATGGAAAAATAAATTTTAAAAAATTTAAAAAAAGAATACTTAAAATGCAATTAGTAATTATACTGGTTTAGTAAAGTACCAACAGTAAGCTTTTCTTCAAGAGCTGTGGCATCATTTCAGAAACCTTCTTTACTTGATAAATGTAGCTCTCGCTCCTCTTCAAAGAAACTTCTTTTCTACATCAGATAAAGACCATAACAGAAAACCACAGTTGGTCAAAATAAATAGAATAACTGATCATGAAGTGCCCAGCCCCAGTGGATGCATCTGCAGCACAAGTTCTGCAACTAAGGCCCAGGGTACATTGCAGAGGAAGGGGCAGAAAGATTGTGATATACAGAAGACCTGAAAATATGCTATGAGATCTTGGAAAGCAACACGCATGAAAATGTAATAATAGGGCAGACTACTCAAAGAATGGCAATGCTATCAGACACGTTAAATGAGACAAATGAGAAATCTCAAGGAGCTCCACTAGACAAAGAACTACAGATTACTCATGACTGTAGAGAGAGATAATTAGTCTTTCTCATGGATGAACTTCCTAATTGGTTAAATAATACCAAGTGGTCATCTCTAAAATTGTATACATAGAAGCAACACTGATTTAGCAGGTTATATTTACATATTTATGGATACAAATATTAAGGAAAATCATTACATAACTAGCTAGGTGTGGTTTTTAGGTTTTCAATACAAGGTAAACAATCTTTCTGCTGAACAAGTCTTAAGTCCAATTAGAAAACTGTTGGTTGCCACCAGTCTATATGTCATTCGTATATCCTTGGGGATATCCTACCGTTCTGGTTATTGCATTGTCTCATAGGCAGAAAAGGTAGGTAGCATAATTGATTGCTTCCCTCTCTTGTCAGTTTCTTTAAGTCTCTTTTTAATTGCTACATTCTATAAGTATAGGAATGCCTCTAAGATGCTCTGGTGGTTTGAATGAGAGTGACCCTCCCACAGGCTCATCGAGTTTAAATACTTGGTTCCGATTGGTAGAACTGTTTGAGAAGGAATAGTATGTATGACTTTGTTTAATGAGTATATCATTGGGGGAAGGCTCTGGGGTTTCAAAACACTCATGTCATTCCCAGTGTCCCTCTCTCTGCCTCTTTCTAACAGATAAAGGTATAAGCTCTCAGCTGCTGTTCCAGATGTTCCCGTTGTCAAGCCTTTTCTCCACAATTGCGGCAAGGTATCATGATAAAAAATATCGCTTACAGGCTAAGTGACTGGAACTCTTGCTGTACTTCACAGACATTGGTAATAATATATCTTAGGATTGTTTAAAACTGCTATACTGCTGTATACGTAGCCTATTTAACCTATTTCTAGCAGAACATTATAACAATAAAACTTGCCTTGGATTTTCCATGTAATAAATCTTCATGACCTAAGCTAATGCATATCTGTAATCTTAAAATTATGTACTCATCCACGTCCTTGAGCCAGAATGACACATGTGTATACCATTGACTGAAAGCAGCAAGTACAGAGGTTGAAAGCAGTTTACTAAAACTTACCATAAAGTTTAAAGCAGTAGTTTCTGGGTATTGGTTAATAAACAGTGATATTTGTAGTACTGTTTGTTGTGTGGGTTAGTTGAGGTCACTTGGAACCAGTGACTTAATCCCTTCTAAAGCCCTGTTAAAAATTTCTATAAAGTATCCCTCATTCTGTCCCTGTTTGAGGCTTTCTGTGTTATTGAGTAAAGACAAAGCAAATACCTCATTTGAGATACAGACACACAGGTATACAGATATAGACACAGGGACAGATTCACAACACAGCCTTTAGGCAGACACAGATTGAGAGTCATACGACATACAGACAGTATAGAAGACACAGAAAACATAAAATAGAGAATTTAAATCACAACTCGCTTTTTGTTAAATGACTATATGGTGAAGAGTTTTTCTTTCGTTAATAGATACTGATGCATTATTGGTAACTTGAAGTTCATCACCAATACATTTAATCTATATATTCATTCCATCATGGACTCCAACCCTCTGAAATCATAATCTTTATTAAATGCTTTCTTTTATAAATTGCCTTGGACAAGTTATTTGTAATAACAATAGAAAGGTAATCAAGACAGATAGTGAACTATTTTTAAAATGAATATTATTTGGTTTTGAAGGGTCTTGCTCATATCGATGAAGATTGTTACTTTACTGTTCAAATATTTAAACTACAGAAAAATTTAGTACACAGGGTGTTTAAACCATCATCCTGATTTATTTGGACTTTCAATCAAATGGACATGTTTGGTTCATGAATTTACCCTATATTTTTTTGTTGTTGTTGTTAGGATTTTGTTAGTCCTGGGCCAACATCCGGGAGTCCTCCTGGAAAAAGGGAGGAGAGATTGTATGAGCCAGGGGCATCCCACATAGGATCATTCAACATGGAGGATCCAACATGGGGGAACCCACAGAGACAGCTGACATGCGTTTCTGAGAACACATGGACTCTGGACCAACAATTAGTGTGCCTGCATGGGAATGACAATTGTGGAGCTTGGTCTGTTTGCAAGACTCCTAGCAGTGAGATCAGGACCTGTCCCTGGAGCTTAGCTGGCTTTTGGGAACCTGTCCCCATGTTGAATTACATTGCCCAGCCTTTATGCAGGGGGAAGAACTCAGACCTACAAGAACTTGATGTGCCATGCTTTATTCAAGCCCTTGGGAGACCTGCCCCTTTCTGAATGGAAATGGAGGAGAGGATGGGGAAGGGGTAATAAGTGTGAGGAGGTGGTAGAGGAGAGAAGGGGGAAGGGAGGGGAAACTGTGGTTGGTATGTAAAATAAATGAAGAAAATGTTGATTAAATAAAATAAAATTTAAAAGAAGATTCTGTTGCCCTCCTTACCTTAAACAACCTTCTCAGTCATTTCTCCTTCATGTCTACTATATTTTAGCACCTTAAGATCCTTCAAGGAAATTTCATTTAATACTTCCTTAATCAATTATATGATGGTATTCAGTAAGGTCTCCTGACACCTTTTCCAGTGACGTTTCTCTTCTCTATTTTATACTATAGTTTAAAAGATTCCTTCTCAGAGAGTCAGAGAAAAGAATCACAAATGACTGAAGAACACAAAGAGATATTCACTCTTACCCATTACAACTTGCATTCATTTTGTTCACATATATTATGCCCTAAAAGTAATGAGAAATTTCTACATGTACTGAGGTAGAACAGTCTACTTACTTCATCAAGTGGAACGAACTCAAGGGCATAGCACAGTTTTTTACTGTGAGCGTGCTGTCATTTAAGTTAAGAAAACAGAATACAAAATAAAGACATATAGGTCATATGCCTGTTTACTTGTATATTTATAATTTTAGAAATAAACATAAGAAATTAGACATATAAGTTTTTACTATGAGGAGAATTACATGGTTGGGGGAAGAGAGATAAAGAGAAATATTTGTTTACATTCTGGTTTTCAGAACTTTGGGTTGTGAATTTCTCACTTAAAATTTAAGCTAACTAATAAACATGCAAGGATATGCAATGCATATATGAAATGTCATCTCATTCTTGCAGATTTCGTAATTCCTCTGTGGTGATAGTATTTCTCTGCATCTTCACAGAAGTCCCATGAATTTCACCTGTCCTTGAAGATAAAACAACGGCATTCTTAACATCTTGCTCTTCACCTAATTCTTGACCACTTTTCTTTTTTGTTCTGCATATAATATGTTTACAGTTGTTCAACTGTTCTTGTTTCCCGAGATCCAAAGGCATTGCAAACAGGTGAGCCAGTATTCTCCCTGGAAGGGAGGTATTACCTAGGCATACAGGAGTGAGAGAAAGTAAAGGCTGTCATTGTAGCAGAATGCATTTGAATTGTGGTCATAATTTGAAGTGTTTAGCAGAAAACTAATTGCTGATTGTTTAAAAAGAATGAAATATTGTGTGTGCACACATACACTTACACTTAGCGCTAGGAACTAGGAAGTTTTTGACAAAAATAATTGGCTTGGCATTTCATAAAACGCGCAAGTGTATATAGACAGGAAAGGAATATATTTAACAGCAAGCATGTCATGTAAATTAACTCAAATGATTGACAAAATTAGTCCAAGCCTTAGTGTCTAAGGTCTCACCAAGGACTGATTTGAACATTAGATAGAAAGACACCTCTGTTCTCTTTCACTCGGAGGACTAGTGTGAAATTTTGCATGTTTGTTAAGGAAAGATGCTGTGGGGTTACAGACTATAAGATGAGGAAAGAGATGGATAGTGAAGGAGGAGGAATGCAGTACTGCAATTTATAGGTGGCTTTCAGAGAGTGAGAGAAACTGAAAATTATATTTGTGAGTCACCACGATTTTACACGTTGCTAATCTTGAGCTGAGCTCCAAAGCCACATGATTCCGAAAGTTCTTTTATGTGTGAAACCTCCAAGTTACAACTTTTATGCTTCATGACAAATGACAATCCCAGATAGCAACATGAAACAAACTTTCCTTTTCTTTCTCTATAGTAGGAGATACACAGTGTATAGCTGGAAGCCACCATCCTAGCTGTAGATTCCAATAGACTTCTGAATTTCATGCATACTATGCAGTGCTCCTAGAAAATATAAATGCATTGAATATCCTAATTCAAGCATTTTATTTTTTTATGCATGTTGTGATTTGAATGAGAATTACTCCCCTAATATCATATATTTGAATGCTTAGTCACCAGGGAGTGGCACTACTTAGGATTATGTGGTATGGCCTTGTTGGAGTAGATATGGCATTGTTGGAGGAAGTGTGTCCCTGGAGTTGGCCTTGATATTTCAGAAGCTCCAACAGGGCCAAATGGCACTTTCTTCTTCCTGCCTTCTGATCCAGATGTAGTACTCTCAGTTACCTTTCCAGAACCATGTCTGCCAGTGTGCCACCATGTACTGTACCATGATAATAAAGTCCTAAACCTTGAAACTGTAGGTAAGCCCCAATTAAACGCTTTCTTTTATAACAGTTGTCATGGTCATGGTGTGTCTTCACAGCAATAGAAGACTGACTAAGCCGAAGCATGACTGTGTGTATGTGCTATATTTATGTACACATGTGGGAACACACACATGTGGAGATCAAAAGTCAATGTCAATAGAACTCATGTTCTCTTGTTTGTGTGGCAAACTGAGATAATTATCTAGCTCCTTTCAGGACATTTTTTATACTGTATACTTTTTCATATCTGATGGATTTTCCTCCATCTCCTCCCAGTTTACCTAAATTTTGTTCATTCTTTGAGGATAAATTGAAACCTCCCCTATTCTAGGAACTTTTTATATTCATCCATAATCTTTTTCACCTCTGGTCATGTCCAGTTTCTTTGTCTATTTTAAGTACTTGTGATTTCTTTCCTGGGGGGATTATACAGAATCCTGGACTGGCTGACATAGTACAGTCCCAAAAATACAAAAGATAAAGTCAGTAGTCTATACCAACTAGAGGATATTCTTTGAAGTTAAGAAAAACACTGGGATAAGCCAGGCAGTGGTGGCATATGCCTCTAATCCCAGCACTCGGGAGGGAGAGACAGGTGGATCTCTGTGAGTTCAAGGCCAGCCTGATCTACAAGAGCTAGTTCCAGGACAGGCTCCAAAGCAACACATAAAACCCTGTCTCAAAAAAGCAAAAAATAAAAAAATAAAGGCTGGTATAAGTCCTCATCCACCCTGGGGAAATGAGTACCACAGATCAGCAGAGGCTGATGACATGTTTCTAGGCCAGCAGGGTAGACTAACTTAAAGCTACTTCACTTCAAAGGAGACTGGATGTGACTTCATACAAAGGCAGCATTAGGTACTGCATGGAAATAGGTCACTAACTTTAAATTCTTACCAAAATATAATTATCGGTTCCCAGGATTTCCAATACAAGACCACGTGAAGAGAAACCATTGTTCAATTCCAGTTCAGTGTGGGTGACAAAGTGAAATTTAGAAGTAAAATTGTCTTTGAAATTTCAGTCTTTATTAACTGGTCCTTTAAATTTTGCAGATTCTTTGTACAACTTGTGAGTTTTAGGTGTTTTGTTTTTATTATAGAAATAGCATTATGAATAAGCTTATTTATAAATGAGAGGTTTGTTAATTATTGGAGCTCACACTTTTCAAGACGTCCTGACTGCTAAGGTGCTAGGTAAGCTATTAGAAGGTTGTTATGTTCTTACAGCTTCAGACTCAGTAGTATAATTTTGCTGCTAAATGAATAAATTAGATAAGACAGCGGCACTACAGAGCTACCGGGAATCTGTAGGTGACAATGCTACTTCCTCCTGACCACAGTACCCAGGTCACTTAGCAAGTTTTTGGAAAGTGTACCTCTTAAAGCCAGTGGATTTCTCTTCACTTTTCTGTATGAATATATCTCCCACATAAGGCATTTTTGTTGTGTTGTTAATATTTCTTCTAATGAAATGTAGTTGGCTTCTCCCTGTAATATTCTATCATTATGTCTCAGGTTTAATAAAATTATTTGTGATCATTAAATGGTAATAATGACAGGGTCACTTCGTAATCTGTATTTGTTATATCAGTAATGCTATAGGAAGGAATCCATATGGACACACTGCTAATGATTTGTTCTGAGTTAACCTTCTATTTATTGTCTCCCCCTCTTTCTCTATTACACAGCAAGATGTCCCCATTCTCTCTGCGATGGGAGAAGAGGCTCAGGAGCAGAGCAATACCTGTAGCTTTGGAATATACCCTCTTCTCCCATGTCAGAGTGGTGTCTTGCTTTGCTACAGAGAAAGAGGGGGAAGACAATAAGAAGAAAAGCAAAAACACCATACATGTCAAAAACAATACTGGACACCTGACTAGAGAATCAATACTACATTTTAAAATGATTGCCTGCCTTTGTTTTCCCTCTTTATATAATATACTGGCTAAGGATGACATGGAAAACAGATGTTTACGACACTGATTCACTGGTTTCTCATATTTCATGGTCTCTATACAGATTACAGTTTAAAGACTCAATTATTGTTCTTTTCCTGTATGGAAAGTAGTATAGACCTATTACAATCTGACAGTATCCTCGTAAATTAGTGACGCTCTCTAGAATTTTCAAGGAGATTCATGAAATGGGCCCAAACGTTCCAGATACCCACCTTACAAAGTAGTCAGCTCTCTTTGCTGAGGTTATTGTGATCAATCCAAAGTAATATACACTAAGATGAAACTTAGAACCAACTAATAAACTAATTGATTAAACAACTATTAAGCCATTGCCATGTTCCTAGTACTGTTCTCAGCATTGGGTATATATTAGTGACCAGAAAAACAGGAACCTTGTCCCTACTCTAATAGTACTCACATTCTAGAGTAGATAAATAGACAACATGCAAACAAATGTAGCAATCATGACAGAAGTGACCAAAATTTTACAAATTACAAAATTTGGTCATGTGATAAAAATGGTTTGTGGTTCAGGAGTGCTATAGACTGAATGCTTGTATTCTTTACAAAATTCATTTATTGAGTCGATAAATTCTAATTTCGTTGTGTTTGGAAATGAGGTCTGTGTGCAGTAATTAGGGTTAGATGAAGGAACTCTGTAATGACAGGATTAGTGTCCTTAGTGAAAAGAGCATTAAAAGAGCTTACATTTGTCCTTTCTCATAGAGGAAGAAGAGTGAAGTCATGGCCATCTACAAGTCACTGGAGAAATTATCCTTAATCAAACAAATAGGTGTCCTGACCTTTACTTCCCAGCTCTAGAATTATAACAAAGATTCTTAGTGGTAAATTTGACTACACCTGGAATTTAACTATAACTCAAGTGGCTCAATTCACCTGTTAGTGATTTTTCTTAATTAAAGCACTCGAAGTGGGAAGAAGCACCCTAAAAGCAGACCTTTTAAGGTGGAAAGATGCACTTTAAATCCTGCCACACCTTCTGAGGGCAACCTATATAAAGGACAGGGAGAAAGAAAGCTTTTGCTTTTTGTCTAAATACCTTCACTCTCTGAGGCAAGTTCATTCCTTTGCTGACATTAAAACTTACTTCTTTGGTATTCTGGCATACACTAAAGACCAGATGAGCCATTCGGCCCTGCAGACTGAGTGACTTCTGGGTTCTTGTGGCTTCCACTTGTTGTCAGCTGTTGCTGTACTAGAGAAACCACAATCAGTAAGTCACTCTAACAAATTGCATACATTCATTCTTTCAGTTCTGTTCCTCTGGCAAAAACTCATTAATAAAGTTGATATTTTCTCACTGCAGATTAAGCAGACTAATACAGATAAAACAGTCAAAGAAGGCATCTTTGTTAAAAGTGATGTTTGAGCTAGAGCCAAGTGTTTCTGAGGAAGGGTCATATGTATGTTATGGTAAAGAACATTCCAGGCATGGAAAACGATAATATAGAGCTCAAGAAAAGAGATCAAGACCATGATGGGGTTACCCCTAGAAGCATCTGACCTGAGCCAGTGAGAGCTCACTGACTCCAGATTGATAGCGGGGAACCTGCATAGGACCAAACTGACCAAACTAGGTCCTCTGAATATGGATAGCAGTTCTATGTCTAGGGCAATCTGTGGGACCACTGACAGTGGGACCAGGATTTATCCCTAGTGCTTAAACTGGATTTTGAAGCCCATTCTCTTTTAAGGGATACCTTGTTCAGCCTAGATAGAGGGAGGGAGGGTCTTGGCCCTGCCTCAAAATGATGTATTAGACTTTGTTGACTCCCCATGACAAGCCAAGGAGGAGTGGATGGGGGGTGGTGAGGAGAAAGGTGAGGGTAGTGGGAGGAGAAGAGGGATTGGGAACTGGCATTGGTATGCAAAATGAGAAAAGATTGTTTTAAAAAAATAAATTAGTTAAATAAAAACATGGAACTTGAGAGCAGTAATGGACTTGGTATATTAAAGAAAAAGCAAAGCCAATGTGCGCAAAGAGCAAGTAAGGAAATAAATAGAAGAAGAAGTTGGAGAGACAGGCATGGGTAAGATCATACATGGTCTTGTCAGCAGTAGAATACATTTAGTAGAAAATGGCTGGAGCTAGGCTTGGTAGTACACACCATTAATCCTAGCACTCAGAAGTCAGAGGCAGGTAAATCTCTGTGCATCTGAGGCCAGCCTGGTCTCTTCAGGCCAGACAAAGTTACACAGTGAGACATTGTCTCAGAAAACATGTAAAATGAAAGTAATTGGAAATTTTAAAGCAGAAAGTTAATATGGCATCATCCAAAATTTAATAAAATGACTTTGGTTTCTGTACGAAAGTGACATAAAACAGAAAGAAAAGACTAAGTAGGGGATTATTTCAATAGCTCAAGTGATGATTAATAGCAGCAGTAGAAGAGATTAATAAACTGACTGAGTTGTTTATGAAATGGCTGGTTTTAAATAAAGGTGGCTTATTAAATACCTAGATATAATCTAGCTTTATAATGTAAGAAACTGATAAAATAATGACAACTTCAATTGAGATTAATAAGATTGATGGAAGTACCATATTGTGGTTTCACTGAGTTTGAAATGTGTATTAAAACTCTAATCAACATTATCAAGTAGAAAATTGCATATGCAAATCTTAGAGTTCCATGGAAAGATAGTGTCTATCACCTGCCCTCTTCTTGTTCACACTGCTGCCTATACGATCTACAGTTTCAAAGTAAAATCCTACTGTGTGGTGATCAGCTGTTCTCAGAGTTCAAAAAGGGTTTTAACATCAATAGAAGCTATAAGCAAATTGCCCTCCCACCATTGTAAGAAATGTCTTAAGCAAAAAAGGCTTGTTTTCCATACTTGCTAGAACTAAAATTAAGTTCATAAATATATAAAAACACTGAGTAGAATGTAGTGGCACAAGCCTTTAATCTCTGTACACAGGAGGCAGAGGCAGGTAAATCTCTGAGTTTGAGGTCAACTCGATCTACAGAGTATATTTCAGGACAGGCAAGACTATGCAGAGAGAACCCGTCTCAAAAAAGGAAGAGACACAGTACTGAGATTTCATGTGCTTAGCAACACGAAAGCCTTTACTTCCCAGTTAGTTGAAGGATAGACAATAATAGCAGTGTACTATGAACTCCAGTATGCAGTTTTTAATATGCATGTAAATAAGCAGGGCCTCAGCCTGTAACATGAGGGCCTGCTTGTTGGGGTTTCTGTCCCACCCGGTACCCCACAGCTGGCAAGCCCAAAGAAAATCAATCACACAGAGATCTCTATAAGTTATAAAGCTGATTGGCCCATTAGGTCAGGCTACTTATTAGTTCTTATGACTTATCTTAACCCATTATTCTAATCTATGTTAGCCATACGGATTCAGTACCTTTCTCAGCTGGGCAGGTTACATCCTGTCTCTTTGGTGGTCTGCGCAGGAGTGGCAGAGGAACCTCCCTGCTTCCCAGAATTCTCCTGTTCTCATTGCATCACCTCTACTTCCTGTCTGGTTTTCCCGCCTATACTGCCTGTCTGGCCAATCAGCGTTTTATTAAAATATGATTGACAGAATACAGACAATTCTCCCGCATCATCAGCCCAGTTATCACAACTCAGATGAGAGGTAAAAAATGGTGAGATGCCTACTACAGGCTCCTCACTTAGGAAAGGTAATGCCAGCTGATAATTCTGTGTAGCTCTGGAATATGGAGATATGTACAAACATAGGCAGAAGTTGGGATAGAGAATGATCAACTATGGTGAAGAAGAATACACTCATTTCTTTCTGTACAGAGGCTAGAACATTAGATTTTTGTTTTCTAAGGTTTCCTGCAATCAGTGGTACTATATGACACAGTTCTTGTCAATAGGAAAGAAGGAAAAAGGTGCTGGAGATTCTGGAAAATCTGAAATGCATGCTTATTAAAAATGGACATATAGTTAAATTATATTTGTATTTTAATAAATAAAGCTTGCCTGAATATCAAAGTGCAAAGCTAAGCTATTAGAGGCCAGGAAGTAATGACACACACCTTTAATCCCAGTACTCAGGAAACAGAGGCAGGCAGATCTCTGTGAGTTCAAGGCTACCCTCGGCTGCACAAGATCAATGCAGAAACAAATCCAGGTGGTGGTGAATCACAATTTTAACCGCAGTGTTTAGGAGTCACACACCTTTAATCCCAGCACTATGGAGGTAGAGACAGGAGTAATGTGGCTGGGCAGATAGAGGAACATAAAGGGAAAGACACAGGAACTCACCAAAGTGCGGTGTCTGAGATTTGTTGGAGACACAGTGCAGTCTAGGCAGTCTGAGGATCACCCCCTTTGTCTGAGCACTGGTAGAGGTAAAAGGTCTCTCCAGTGGCTGACTGCTCTGCCTTTAAATAACTCTGGGTTTTGATTAATTAAGACCAGCTAGAATTCATGCTTCATGAACATGATGAATAAATAATTTTAAAAAGATAAATGAGTGACTTACATAACAAGCTCTATGCCAGCAAGAGCTACATAATGAGACCCTGTCTCAAACAAACAAAACAAAAATAAATAAAGCAAAACATATCAATGAGAACCATCTCTTCTTTCTTCTGCCTTAGATAAAGCTATTTTGGTTAAAGCAACAGTTACAATTTTGTGTTTGTGAGAAAGACACCAAGAGTATGTTAATGATTCTGAAATTCTTGAGTTATTCAGTAACTATTAACTATTTTGAATAGGCAAGGAACACTTATTTGTTTAAGGCACTATTCAGTGGATCTTATTTATAGCCAAATGCAATTCTAACAGATTCTCTTAGTTTAGGGAAAGATTCAATACAGGTCTATCTGAAGATAGGTTTCATTTTCTTGACCAGCATCGTGTATCACTTGTCATACTAGACACAATTCATAGAAATAATATACTACTATAGAACTACAACAAAAGTCTGTGCTGTATGCATTTTGTGGTATAGAAATGTGAAAACCCAGATTGTAGGTAAGACACAGAAAGAATGTACTTTGCTGTATAGACAAACTGACTACAGGAAGATATATAGAAGAAAATTGAGGAGGAAAGGGTATGTTGCTTTTGCTTCAATAATCTGCCTTTTGTCCTCAGGTCAAAATTCTCTCCTATGTTCTATCCACTTCTCAAAGGACTGTTTTGACTTGACTTTCTGAAATCTAAGATCTGAAATATCTCTTGGTGAAATAAAAGCCTGGAATACTCCCTAGAGAAGATGACTTCAGAGATGTAGGTACCAACAGCAATAGCCGAGATAGAAGTAGGTGCTTTGTTGAAATCTCCTAATAGAAGGCAAAATCTGTCATGCAGAGAGATAATCCCCAGAACAAAGCATGGAGAGTTATGGATACACCTACTACAGGGTCTCTCTAAACATCTTCAGAGTCATCCTGGGGATAAAAGTTTTAAAAGACCCTGCCTTACTCAACCTATCTCCCTGTTAAATCATCGAACCTGGCCTGGCCTTTATTTTCTTTTCTGACTGAGCTCCACATGATAAACCGCAAAATTACATCCACTCTCGCTCTAGAATGCTGCTAGACCCATACTCTAGATACATGAATCCTACTCTAAGGCTTACTAGCAATCAAAGGCATACAAATTGTCAGTATGTTGAGATTCCACATTACTCTATTCAGAAGGATACTCATAAAGCAAACAAATAGCAACACATGCTGGTGAGAATGCAGACAAAGGAAACCTGTATACACTTCTGATGGAATGTATCCTAGTTCATCCATTATGAAAAGCAATATGGGTTGAAAGGAAAGAATAAAAGGAAAAGAAGGGAAAAGGACTAATCATTTTTGGACACCATTTGCCTCTCATTTTCAGGGTTCTGTTCCTTCAGGTTGTAACATCATCACGCCAAGCTTCATTTTTCAAAATGAGAATTATTTCTGAGTCAGATCATGACTTCAGCTGCAAAAAGTCATTAATTCTAAACTGTGAATTAGTAATTGAAAAGCAGAAATCCATGTCCTGAAGGAATATGAATTCTAATAAGAAACAGGAAGAATACATTTGAAACACAGGACATCACTCTAAAAGTGCGTCATCTGAAAAAAAAGAAGAATGAAAAACCCTGAGAGACAGGAAGAAGAGACCTAGAGAAGGGAGAGAGAAAAGGAGGTGTAAGAGGAAGTGGGGAAGGGAGGGCATCAGGAGGTCTGTAGATATTTGTTTTTATTTGACATTTTAAAAGAGCAATTCAGCTTTGAAACCTTTTTTTCAGGTTTAAGAAATTTTAATCGTGGTCTAGGTCTCAAAAAGTAAAAGGACCTGACTAGTTATATGGATTACTGAAAATTTTAAAAATGAGATGATAGCAAAGTAGGGAAGAACTCAGAAGTCATCCCACCAATGATAAAATAATAACATTTATCACCCCAGGGTAAGCTAAAGTGATCGTTGTGAAAATTCTTTGAGATATTGCATGCCTGGTTAATAAATTATCATTTTTATCATGTTAGAGAAAGTTTCAATTGTTTATAGTCACAAACACTGACAAAGAAGGTAGAATCTGACCAATAAAATTTGCTGCTCTCACTGGCCGATGATGATGCGTACCTTTAATCCCAGCACTCAGGAGACAGAGACAGGCAGATCTTTGTGAGTTCGAGGTCAGCTTGGTCTACAAGAGCTAGTTCCAGGACAGGCTCCAAAGCTACAGAGAAACCCTGTTTCGAAAAACCAATAAATAAATAATAATAATAATATAAAAAAACAAAAAGAGCCCTCTCTGCTCTCTGCCTCCAACCAATGGAGTATATCATTGTACATGGCACTTGATTCATAGGAATGTTTTCATAAAAGTATAGAATGCACTTTTGACATATTCCTTTCATATCCCCCATACCCTTCATTTTATCACTCCCAGTCAGCTTAACTTCTACTTTAATATAGAGGCTATATGATTATCTACCTACTAATAGAAGAGCTAATAACCACAAATGAGAGAAAACTTTGTAATTGCCTTTTATGAGTCTAACTTAATTCACTTAGCATGATTATCTCCAGTTGAACCATTTTCATGCAAGTGATAATCTTCATTTCTTTTTTATGAGTGACAATTCCATTGCTTATATATACATCACATTTTCAATATCCATTCCACAACTGAGGGACGACTAGGTTGGTCACATGACTTGGCTACTATTAATAGTACTGTAAAAAATATCAATGTGCGATTATCTCTGTGGTATGTTGCCTAGCAGTCTTTTGAGAAACTACCCAGGAGTGAAATACTTGGGTCATATGATAGATTTATTTTTAGAGTTTTTTTTAGGAACTTCATATGACTTTTCATAATGGCTAAGCTATATTACATTCCATCAAAAGTGCATACAGGTTCCTTTTGTCTGCATTTTTATCAACATGTGTTGCTATTTGTTTTCTTAATGACTGTCATTCTGAATAAAGTGATACAGAATTTCAGTATACTAAAAATTTGCACTTCTTTGATTTCTAGTAAGGTAGCAATGCTTTCATGTGTTTACTGTCAAATTGTACTTAACTCTACTTTATCTTTTGGGAACTATACATTTCATTAGCCTATTTACTGATTGGGTTGTTTTGTTTTGTTAGTTTCTTGTGTTATTTTTAATATTCTAAATGTCATTCCTCTCTCAATTATAGAAACACCAAATATTTAACAATCTGTAATTTTTGTCTTTACATGATTATTTCTTTTTAATTTCATGAGATCTCATATGACAATTTTTAGCATTATTTCTTGAGCAACTACAATCCTATTCAGAAAGAATTTACCTGTGCCTATATCTTCTAGTGTATCCCCTAATTTTTCCTCTTAACAGTTTCAGAGTCTCAATATGGTCTCCGATCAATTAGGAGTAATTTTTTGTTCAGAGTGAGACATAGATCCTAGTTTAATCTTCTTGTGATTATATCTGTGAGATATCTGTACCATTTGTTTAAGACTGTCTTTTTTCCAATGTATTTTTGGTCTCTTACAAAAATGCATATGGCTGTATTTCTGTTGGGCTTATATCTGGCGCCTGTACTTTCTTACATTGACCTACATGTCTGTTGTTGTGCCAGTATTCTGTTTATAATGTCATTGGAATTGTGATATGGATTGAATTGATGTGTAGAGTGTATTTGTCCTATATCTATTTTCATAATATTATTTCTTGCATTCTATAAATATAGATGATTTCCGTTCTCTAATTTCTTACCCTATTTCTTCACCTGTAAAATCTTTGACTAAGTTTATTATAGGATATTTTGTACAAAATTGTGTGTCAATTGTTTCCCTTATTTTTTCTTTAGCATGTTTGTTGTTGGTGTATAGGAAAGCCACTGACCTTGCACATAAATTTTTTAGCCTGCTACTTAGCTGGAAAAGTGTTCATCAAATCTGAAAGTTTTCTAGTGGAGTCTTTACTGTTCCTTATGTATAGAAATGCCATCTGATAATAAGTACACTTGAATATCTTTTCCCATTTGTATCTCTCTTATTTTCTCTGTTGTCTTATTTTTCCAGCTAAGATTCCTAGTATTATGTTGAGTAAGAGTGGAGAACATGGACACCTTTTTCTTCTTCCTTATATCTTATATGTTTTGAAATATTTTATTTTCATTATATTCTAAAACCTTTAAAAAATTAGAAAGCTTTGACAATCCATTTGTCAATTAACAATTTGTTGTTCAAACCTCGTAAACTTGTACATACTTTATTATTTCTCTCTCTAGTTTTATTCCATTGTGGTCATATCAGTATAAGAAATTGATGTGGGATTCCCCTCTATATGCTGTGAATATGTTTTATTACCATTGGTTAATAAAGAAGCTGATTTGGCATATGACAGGGCAGAATATAACAAGGCGGGAAAACAAGCAGAGATGGAGGAGGAAAGAAGATGGAGTCAGAAACAAGCCATGGACCCGCCCAAGAAGCAAGAGGTAACAAACCACAAGCCTCGTGGTAAAATATAAAATAATAAAAGTGGGTTACTTTAAGATGTAATAATTAATAAGAAGCCTGAACTAATAGCCCAAAGAGTATGTAAAGAATTTTAAGCTGCAGAATGGTTATTTCATAAGCGGATGCAGGAGCTAGTTAGCAGAACCTGGTGAGTGGAGAGAAACCAGTCCAGGGGAATCAGTGGAATGGCGAATATTTATAGCTATAAGAAATTATCTAAATTTTCTTGTATTTGTCAAGAATATCCATGGGCTGCTGCAAGAATGTGCATTCTGCAGTATTTCAGTGGAGTGCTCTATAGCTATCTCTTAGGTTCACTTGTTCCATGAGGTCATTCAACTCAGGCAATTCTGTTGAATTTGTTCAGGATAATATGTCTTTTGATGAGAGTAGGGTAAGGAAATCAC